TAAACCCACCTTTCCCCTTCACTGACCACACCACTGCCCCTAAATTCGGACCTTCCCATCCAAACCCGCCTTGCCCCCTCCCAAACCAACGAAGTGTTGAGGGGTTTTGGTTTCTTTTTTTTTTTTTTTTTCTGCCTTCAGATGTCTCCATCTAAATTTAAACTCAGACATCATATTACCTCGTTATTTTTAGAGCGGCGATTACTCAGTGCCCGTTTCCAGCCTCGCCTTCCCCCCCCTCGCCGTTTATCCCACCCCAAAATCCGCCTCCCTCTCCGGGGAAAAGGACCAACCCCAAGGGACAGCGGGACTGGGTGAGCAGCGGAGGGGCAGACCCGAGGGACTCACACACCCAGCTCGTGAGGGAACTCCTCGCAGAGGATGGCCACGGAGGTGCTGATCCCTTGGAAGACAGAGACAGTGAAGGAGGCGCCGATGGCCAGCCCGTCGATGAAGTTGTGGAGGCCGTCGCTGAGGGTGATCATCCAGGCCAGCGTCCCGATGTCGGAATACCGCACCTCCTTCAGCCAGTAGCACGCGCTCTGGGAGGCCTGCAGGTCCTGCCACGGCACCCCAAGGCGGGGGCTCAGCACCCAAACGCTCCGGGGGGGGGTCGCTGATCCCTCCTCCAGCCAGGAAAACCTACCCCACGCTCATGAAATCCACATTTAACGGGCGGAGCCCTCTGCTTCCCACCCCCCGCAGAGGGTTTGGGGTCCGAGACTCCCTTTCCGTTGACAGGCGGGCTTTTCCCATGTTCCCATCCCACGGGACAAGGCGCTCACCTGGACAGAGAGGGAGCCCACCACGGCCTTCTCATCCCCGGAGGGGGGCTTGCGCTCCAGCTCGCTGGTGATGTGCGGGATCATGTGGTCCAGGTCCCCGTTCTGCAGCTTCTCCGTGACCCCCTCCTCCTGGTCCTTCTTGGAGGGCAGAGCCTCGGGGCCGTAGTGGCTGTGCCCGTGGTGGTGCTGTGGGATCAGGGGATTCGGGGGTGTCAGACACCCCGAAATTCCCGCTGTTCCCCACCACCCACCAGCCCCTGCTCGGCCTCACCTGGTCCTTCTGCTTCAGGAGCATCTTCAGGACCTTCTCCGTGAAGAAGAAGAGGTAGAAGCCCCCAAACACCACGGCGGATTTGGAAACGTAATAATCTTCCTGAGGGTTGAATCCAAACGCCTGCAGGCAGGAGGGGCCATGGGAGAGGATGAGGAACAGTCCCTGGCAGGGTCCTTCATCTACCTTAGGCCCCAGAGGGGGTGGCACAGCTTTCTGACCTCTCTAAGCAGCAGCTGCTTTGGGGACAAGCTCAGAAAATGCCTTTGTGCACCTTTAATCTCCCTCATTCCCTCCTCCAAGCTGGCTGTGCCCCGAGGCATCGGATCCAGCACCCACCCTGGGGCAGGGATGCCAAAACCAGGGCTCCACGCTCAGAGAGGACCTGCCTTCAGGGCCAGAAAAGGCAATAAAACAGTGATTCCCTGCTTGAAGCAGACTGGGGCTCTGCCTGGAGCGATTCCCTTCCAAACTCCAGCTCCAAGGGGCTTCCAGCCTTC